ACTCCCTCTCTCTGGAACCTTCTTTCCCATGTAGCCATAGAACGAACGCCCTTAGTTCTTTAGGTAGTTGCTCCGCTGTGAGGCTGATTCAGACAGCTCTAATATTGCCACCTGCCCTCCAGGTCACCCTCACCTTGTTTGTTCTTTCTTCCACCACTGTTTGCTCCCCCTGTGCTAAATGCCTGCCTTATTTCTCTGGCTTTGACTCATGGTCTGTCTCCCGCTGGGATACAAGTGCCGCAAAAGCAAGGGTATTTGCTCCCCTGAGGGAACTGCAGGTCATGGCAAATGCCAGACAGTCAATGGATATTTCGAATGAACGACATGTTTTTAGTGTCACTGGGAGGCTCTGATCACCCCCCACCCAAGTTTAGAAGTAACTGTTACTCACCAGAAAAAGAGTTGTGTTCTGTGGGTGCAAGGCTGGTGTCCCCAACATCTTCTGGCAGTGGAAACAAAGAAGACCGTAAGGGTTTTGGGTTTCCTCTGGTCTTCCCACCTAGTCTCTGTGTCCTCCCTCTCTCTGTCCCTCTGGCCTTCTTCCTCAGGAAAAATCAACTGGGCCTCTGCAAAAATGTATGTGGATGAGGGCACTGCAGGGAGGTGCCCTCTGCATCTTCCCCCCTGTCCCTTTGCTGCCTTCCTCATCACTGGTTGGGGTTCACTTGGGGTTCCGCAGAGGACATGGGGGAAATACGGTTATCCTCACCTGTGACCAGGAGCTTCACAGGCTCACTGGGGAAAGACCATGCATGGTTGTTATAAGAGCCAAAACATCTGTACGTCCCTCTGTGGGCTGTGGTCACAGGACCCATGGGGAACTCCACCTGGGTGTTCCCATATCTGTGTTGAGGGCGGCCAGATCTTCCCTCCTTGAGCAGAAAGAACTTGTTTGTTGCAGTGCCTAGTTGGCAATAGAAGGTCACGTTCTTTCCTGAGGTCACCTCAGGCCCAGGATGAACGGAGAGGGTGGGTGTGTCATACATTTCTGTGGGAGAAGGAGACAGGAAGGTTAAGAGAGTCTTTATCCTGCCTCCTATGTCTCCCTTCCTCCTTGGCCTTAAGACTGGGATGTCACACCCAAGAATCTCTGTCTGCTCTGCTTTGGTCATGGACATGCCCTCCCTGATCTCTCCCTTCAAGATTGAGACACTCACTCCTCTAACTTTCAGGGGCATTAGCATGACTCTCTCTCTGGGAATTGCCTAACATCAGTGGTTCTCAGAGTTAGAGATCCTTGGGACCAGCGACATCAGCATCAGCGGGAAGCTTATCAGAAATGCCGATTTCCAGGCTCCACCCCAGACCCACTGCATCAGAAACTCAGGGGTAAGGAAGCCAAATGTGTTTTAAAAATTATTTTTGTTTTACATTGTTATGAAATACATTACACATAAAATTTACCATCTTAACCAATTTTATGGGTACAATTCAGTAGCATTGAGTACATTCACATTGTCATGCAACCATCACCACCATCCATCTCCAGAACACTTTTCATCTTGCAGAACTGAAACTGTCCCCATTATTAAGCACCCTCTCCCCATCCCTGCCCCCCAGCCCCTGGCACCCACAATTCTGCTTTCTGTCTCTATGAATCTGACCATCCTAGCTCCCACACAGAAGTGACTCCTACAGTATTTGTCCTTCTGTGACTGGTTTATCTCACTCAGCATAATGCCCTCAAGGTCCGTCCATGACGTAGCAGGTGTCCGAAACTCCTTCCTTTTCAAGGCCGAATAATATTGCATCATGTGTATCGATCACATTTTGTTCATCCATTACTTTGTCAGTAGACACTGAGCCTGTTGCTACCTTTTGGCTACTGTGAATAGCGCTTCCGTGAACATGGGTGTACAAGGGCCATCTGTGTTTTCACGAGCCCTCCAGGTGATTCTGATACCTGCTTAAGTTTGAAAACCACATTCCTCAGTTGAACGAGCCTGAGACTGCCTTCCCTCCCAACCCCTTTCTACTCTGTCTTTTTCCATATCATCATTTACTCCTTAGGTGCTCATGATTGATTTGTCCTGACTTATACTCGTGGTCTGTCTTCCCCTGCTAGAATACAAGTGCCATAAGAGTCCGGATGTTTGAATGGAACCTCCTCCCTAGAAGGGGTTGACACTGGTGGGTACAGAACCCCTAGCCTCATCTCAAGACCACTCAGAATGGCCATCCCAGGTCCAGAGTTCCACATTTGCTTGGCTGAGGTGTCTGTGGAAACTGCACCATGGTCTAGCTTCTGCCTTTTGCCTGGCCTGTTTCCCTCACTCCTCATCGCTGGGGTCACTTTTGAAGATGCTCCCCAGTGTTCCCCCCTGCACACATGCATCCATCTCAGAGCATCTCACCTGGAGAACCTGACCTAAGACCAATCTGCCTCTAGGTCATAGGTAACCGTTGAGTGAGGTTGAATGACACCAAAGGAGATTAATAAATAAATGGTGACCCTCCCCAGGATTCAGGCTGAGGATGGGACAGTTACCTGTTATCACCAGATCCAGAGGGTCACTAGGGTTTGACCAGAGCTCCTTGCTTCGGTAAATGCACTTGTATTGCCCTGCAGTGAGCAGGGTCATGGCTGGGATGTGGAACATGACTATGTTCCTCCTTCCAAGTTGTTTTGGGCTCTGCTGGGCAGAGAGGTGTCCCTCAAAATACAGCTGGTATTCAACGGCCTCAGGAGTCCCCTGGCATAAGATCAACACTCGCATTCCCTTTGGAATCATGAAATCTGGCTTGGCCCAGATGATGGGTTTCGAAAGAATCTCTGGAAGGGAATCAGAGGCTGGAGTTCCAGATAAAGTCCCTTCCCACCCACATTTCCACCCGGTTGCTGGTCCCAAGCACTCCTAGCAAACCAGAGCCCCTGCTCTCTCCTCTGGTGGCTCCTAGGTGGATACTTTGTCTGAGCCCAGTAGAGAGACTCTGGGGCTCTGAAGGAGGGACTCACGCTTCTGGGTGCTGATGGTCTGGCTCAGGTACAGCCCTGGAAGACAAGAACAGTGAGACATGTTGCCCCCCACACCCAGACCCCTGGATTCTGTCTCCCTCACCTGCAAGAACTCACCAAGGTAGAGCAGGGCACTGAGTGTAGAGGTCATAGTACTGATTGTACCAGGAGAATGTTGAGTAGCTGGGTGGAGACTGAGTCCAGCAGGCCGGGAAGATGCACAGGATGTGGTGGGTGAAGCCCAGCACTAATCACCATGGGGCTTTCACACTGACTTTTTACAAGATGGTTCACAGTTTTCCTTCTACCTCTGACCATGAGGCATAAGGACTGGTCATTGTCCCCATGACACATCTGGTCATCTCTGTGGTCTAACCAGATCCTCTGACAATTGTCTGCCCCACCTGAAACTCATTTCAGGGTCTTCTTCCAAATTTTGAAATGTGGACATTATGCCCAGGAAAGGCATACAGAAGTGTACAGAGCAGAAACCTTAGAATCATTAAAAAATATGTGTTTAATCTTGGCTCCTCTTTGTTTGGTATGCATATGCTTGGGTCAGTTAATTGGTTTCATTAGAATGAAATGATAATGCTATCTTCTCCAAAGATTTGTTACAACATTTCAAAAAATGCAATTTTTGAAACAAAATGTTCTGTTTCTTACATAAGTATATTCCTTTAGTCTGTTATAAAGCAGAAATTAAATATTAAAATCTTAAATATTTTAATATATTTTAAAACTCAAAATGTGTTTTTTTCCTCAAAGAGTCTAAATAATTTTGGAAAATGAAATGTAATGCCAATTTATATTCTGCCTTACATTCTATGAGGAAATCTCCCCCAATCTATTACCATTGTTCTTATTTCTTGATTTTGTGGTTGAATATATTCCATTCACTTTCTTATTTACATATAGTAAAACCCACTCATTTCTTGTTCAGTTCTATATGAGTTTTGATAAATGTATATAGTCATGTAACCAACACTTAAGTCAAAATATAGGACAATTTTGTCCTAGTATAAGTGGTATTGGTAGTGTTTGTCCTTGTGTGTCTGACTTATCTCACTTAGCATAATGCCCTGTGGGTTCATTCCTGTGGTTGCAAATGATAGGATTTCTATTCCATTCTTTTCTGTTGCCTCCAATCCTTGACTCCAAATTCCAGCACCCATCTTCTCCAGCCAGCCAACACCCACCCATGCCACCTGTCTAGATGGTCTCCACCAAAATGGCCTTAAAACATTTTGAGGGAGGGCATCATTCTCACGTATCTATAAAGTCTTTTTCAGAAGCCATCCTGGAGAAGAAAAGCTCAAGTGAGATGGTCACTCTTGAGATGACAGCTTGTGCATTTACTCCTGGGCAGATTTAGACCTAAAATCAGAAGCTCTGCTCTCCCTGTAAAAAGGGTCATACCCTGGATTGCTACTGTCTTGATCTCCCCATTAGGACTCGCTAAGGATATAGCGGGGCGGGGGTTCTTCCAGCTGACTTCCTGTGTGCATCTTTTAGGAAACTTACAGGAAAGATGGGTGCAGAAAAAAGTAGTAGGCGAGGACCCAGGACCACCCACTGGAGTTTTTTACGTTGACCTCATTTCTGGAGAGTGGGCACAGCCAATGTCTGTGAGAAACCTGGCTATGTGCCATGGGTTTTTTGTTTTGTTTTGTTTTGTTTTTTGTTTTTAAAACAAATTTCAAGTGTGGACTTGACCTATGGAAACATTTAGATACCAAACCATGGGGGAGAGAGGCAGTGGTTGCTAGTTCAGAGGAGACAATGAGGCAGGCTTGCCTATAGATGACGAAGATGTCTCTGGGCCAAGAAGGGATCTGGTCTCACTTCTCTCCCATAATACATCTTAATTTACTCATCATTGTCAGCCTAAAGTCCATTCATAACATGAAGGTAAGGTTCCTGGTGAGTGGGTCCCTGTGTCAGAAAAGAGCTAGTTGTCCTTTGGGGATAAAGTGACAGAGAAGTAGTTCTCTTGGTATGGTGAGAACGTTCTGCTACCTCTCACTTAGAGAGTTTGAGAGTCTATTCAAGAGGCTGGTTGCCTGATAACATGTTCCTGTGAAATTGTTTTAAAAGTTGTGGGGAGCTCCCTGGAATTTAAGTCAGCCTCCTGGCACCACAGAGGATCAGGTTAGTATCTCCATGGCATGGCCCTAATTGGAGTTGGGTCTGGACTTTAGAGAATGGGTCTAGCCTCGGTTTCCTTGTGGCTTTTTTCTCTGCTAACTACTTTAATAATTTACATAGGCATATGAGAGTTCTGTATCTCAAGTCCCTTGGTATTGCTAATTCTTCCATAATATTTGGGGGTTTCTTTGTTTCTTTATGAAGTTTGCAATTTTTTATTGCTGGTTATTCACAGTGAGTTTTCCTACCTATGGGATTCCAATGTTTATTGTTGTGTGTACTTGTAGCGAAAGTGTTGCCTTCCATTTGATTCTTCTGGAGGGCCCAGGTGTCTCAGCAGGCTGTAAGCAATCTTACATTCATTTGTGGTTTTGGTCCTACATAGCTCAGAAGTGGAATTCAACATCACACTCTTGTGGAAGATGTCAGTGTTTCTGATTTTTCTCATCATCCCAAATTGAAACTCTGTATCCATATATTTGCATCATTATTCAAATCATAACATTTTTAAAAGTTTTTTTTAAGTAATCTCTATACTTAGTGTGGGGCTCAAACTCACAACCCCGAGATCAAGAGTCACATGCTCTATGGACTGAGCCAGCAGGTGCCCATCAAATCATATCATTTGTGAGCATCTCTTTGCCCACATGATAGATGGATTGAATAGAATAAAATTCACAGGGTTGCAGCATGCTCCTGCAAATGAAGTGACTAGAATAAAGCCTAACATAAAAGTGAAGGTCATGGAATATAAGTCCCCATACTCTGCCCTAAGCCAAGCCTTACACTTAACCTAAATCAACCCAATATATGAACTGTCGAGGCCAAAGCACTCACCATCCAGTGCCTGAAATAAAAAAGGCAGAGTGGAATTTGTTTTTACTATATTAAGGGAGAGTTATGCTGGTGCGCTGGCCAGACGCGATATCTCTGAGTCTCTGAGCAGAGCCTACAGATGATCCTAGACAGGATTTTTGGGATTCTCAGGGCCTCTTATGGTTTGGCATTATTTGTAAAAGCCGCTTATTTGAGGGGGACTTTTGATTGGCTATCACTCACGGATGTGCTTACTGGAGTAAACCTGTTTCTGATTGGCTGACATTTAGAAACAAGGAGCTGATTGGTTGAATCACCAAGGTATTTTCACTAAGGTGAGTGGTCATTGATGATGGGTGAAAAACCGGTTCTGGTGGCTCCTTGTCATCATGGCTACAGGACGATATAGTCTTTTCCTAGGAGGGGAAGATCTTTTTATTCCCAGGGTTACAGTCTGCTTTTCCAAACAAGACCCTGGTGTGGACAAAACCAAGTGTGTGAAACTAATCTTCTCCCTCTGTCAGGATCAAACCCCATTGCATTCTTGGGTCCAAATCCTGGCTCTGATGTAAAGTCTTTGATTAGCCCTCGTCCGAAACTATGGCACTTTCTTGTAGTTTTATCTGGTCCAATCACTAACATTTCCTTCATCAACTTATTTATTCATAATCTCAATAAATATTTCTAATATTTTATGCCAAATACTACAAAGAGATGGATCAATAGACTGAGCAGTCTATCGAAAATTCCCAGAGGACATGCTTGTTGAGGTTGTTTTTACAAGTCTATTGAATTTGCATTGGAGGCATGAGATATTTTGAAATGTTACAAATATAAAATGGAATATTACTCAGCCATTAAAAAGAATGAAATCTTGCCATTTGAAATGATGTGGATGGAACTAGAGGGTATTATACTAAACAAAATAAGTTAGTCAGAGAAAGACAAATATCATATGATTTCACTCATATGTGGAATTTAAGAAACAAAACAGATGAACATAGGGGAAGGGAAGGAAAAATAAAATAAGACAAAATCAGAGAGGGAGACAAACCATAGAGACTTTTAACTATAGGAAACAGACTGAAGGTTCCTGGAGGGGAGATAGGGGGATGGGGTAACTGGGTGATGGGCATTAAGGAGGGCACTTGATATAATCAGCACTGGGTGTTATATGCAACTGATGAATCACTAAACTCTACCTCTGAAACTAATAATACAGTATAAGTTAATTAATTGATTTTAAACAAATAAATAAAAAGAAAAAAATGTTAGTTTCATAAGAACAGGAGAGTCTTCTTAGCAATGGGGAAAGCCTGTGTTAATACACAAATGTCAGTGTAGGGAAAACTAGAAGCATACATGTCATGGAATATATGGTATGTTGAATGGACAGCATTAATAATTAATTAGTAGTATTAATAATTTATGGAATTCTAAGTGTTAAGAGCTTACCTAGAAGGATGTGAGGGTATCTGGTTTTGCTGATAAATTCAAGACAGATTGAAATTTTGAGCCAGACCTTTTGTAGAGACTGGGAGAAAAACAGTCAGCAATGAGAACTGAGAATGCTTTGCATGATTTTTATCACAGGAATGAACTAAACCAAGACTATACCAAGAATTTTATCACCAACATATGGAAAGGTGGTATACAACTGTATCAGATATGTATAAGAAAATACCATTGGTGTGAAAATGGATCCAAAATTGTTAGTGCCCCTTTCTCTCTTTTGTTCTCCCAGTAGCTCTGCAGGACTCCACAAGTGCTGACTCATTTCTACTTCAGCAACAGGTGTCTACCTTCTGGCTGTTAGGGGTTTGTCCAAAGGACCATTATGTCTGACCTTTCTGTTTACTCCAGCTCAGTTCAGGAAAATCTGGACAGTTTTCCTTGTGTGGAGCCTGATGGTTGTGCCAATTTTCAACCAGTATGGTCGAGAGAACCACAGGACCAGCCCTGCCACACCCATTCGGATCAAATTCCCCATTGTGTAATCTTGTTTCATTATATCTGCAGACATAATTAAAAGGAGATGAGCGATCACTGGTCATATTCCATTTCATCCCAGCCCCAGAGCCCTGAAAAGGAGCTCATTTCCCTATTTGTGTCAGAACCCCTCCTCAATGAACTCATGCATTCACAAGCACCATACTTAATCCTTGAGCCTGGGTCAAAGGGGAGTCTTGTGAACAGGAAAGGAGGTGACTATGGCGATGTTGTGTTAGCTTTTCATACCCTCTTCATTTCCCTCAAAGTCTAGTCATATCCTTCCTTGCAACACCTTCATATATTTGGAATCCTAAATTTTCTCCTCTACACTTTCTTTTTTTTTTTTTTAAAGATTTTATTTATTTATTTGAGAGAGAGAATGAGAGATAGAAAGCACGAGAGGGAAGAGGGTCAGAGGGAGAAGCAGACTCCCTGCTGAGCAGGAAGCCCGATGTGGGACTCGATCCCGGGACTCCAGGATCATGACCTGAGCCGAAGGCAGTCACTTAACCAACTGAGCCACCCAGGCGCCCTCCTCTACACTTTCTTCACCCCACGTAACAACTTGTGTTCCTTCTTCATACATGACAAAGGATACAGCAGTGTTGGTATATGGGAAGTAG